GCTATGGGTGTTAGAAGCCCTCTAACTTTATACAGAAGCATGCAACTGATGCTGAATTCTTCTTGATTTCTTAGACTGGTTTATTGTTATTAAAAGGGGTGAAGAACAAATGCCAGAAATAAACTTTATAGCATCTCTAAATCACCAAGAGGTTACAAATTTTTTAAAATAGTATTTTAACCTATTAACTGTAAGAGTATTTTCCGGTAATATTCTTAGTTAAGGAAATCAAACTTTTATAATAAAGAATATATAATGCATATTTTGGGATTGTTGAAGAATGAATCTTAAGAGTTGGCAATCATCTTTGAACAGAAAAGATTTCAAAATCACTTTCTTTACAAATGAAATGTAATGTCATTTTGAATTATATTTCTCTGAGTTTAGAGATATTATAGAAAAAATATTTCCCCACCTTAACACTAGTCACGATACTGTGTTGACTTGCCCTATAAATACAAGCGTTATTTAAGGAAAAACAAGCAAGATATTCAAACACAAATTCATACACATTTCAAAGAAGCATTAAATGATGGTGACTGTACTTCAGCCACATTAAAATGTTAGCACTATAGCTTAACAGTTCCATTCCTGACAGTGTAAGAAACTAGCAAATAATTTTTATAGATTTTTTTTCAGTATTGAAATATAACTGACATATAACACTGCATAAGTTTAAGGTGTACAGCATGATTTGATCATGTATATATTGCAAAGTGATTACACGATAAATTTAGTTAACATCCATCACTTCACGTACGTACAAAAAAATTTTTTTCTTCCATGTGATTAGAAGTTTTAAGATCCACTTTCTTAGCAACTTGCCAATATACAATACAGTGTTACTAACTGTAGTCACTAGGCTGTACATTACATCACAGTACGTTTTTATCTTATAATTGGAAGTTTATATTTTCTGACTGCCTTTACTCAACTGCCACCCCCAGCCCACCACCTCTGATGAAGGTAAAAATCTGATTTCTTTTTCTATAAGCTTGGTTTTTTTGGATTCCACATATAAGTGAGATCATACAGTACTTGTCTTTCTTTATATGACTTATTCACCCAGCATAATGCCCTCAAGGTCCATCTGTATTGTCTCAAATGGTAGGATTTCCTTTATTTTCATGGCTGAATGATACATGGGTTTGTGGAAACCATTTAGTTCTCTACTCTGCTGGAGTGGTTGCCTTATCCTGGTAAGCACTGTATGTAGCAATACCTTCTTTCCTACGAAGCAAGGTTAGAAAATCGGTTCAGAGATGAACATAATTAAGTACATAAATTAAATTCCAGAAGCCCATTTAGAACATGGACAATTAAAAAAAAAACTATATACTAGTAAGAGTCACTGAACTAGGAATTAAATGATTCTTTTAAAATAATTCCAATGTTCAACCAGTCTCACTCTAGAAACCCTTCTTCTATTGCTGTATTATAGTTTTGATTCCCTCCATGACAAGAAATAGAGCAGTTACATATACTTAGTAAATATTCCCTTATCTTAATTTAGAGCTAATGAGGACGACTACAGAGAAACACACATTTTCCTAATATTGCAATTTAAAATCTAACTCTGAGATGAAACCTTTAAACAGCTAATGATTCCAGCAGCGTTCAAGATCAGTGAGGAATGCCTCATTTACCCCTCACAGTCAAGGAAAATCATGTGTTCTGGTTGGAGAGTCTCCTAAGTAACTAAAACTCACATAACACTTTTTTTTTTGGTAACAACAGACATCTTTCTAAACTCTGTTATTCAAGTCCAGTGTTTTCCAAAGAAATATAATGCAAGTCACACAGGTAATTCTGAATTTTCTAGAAGCCACATCAAAAAAAGGATAAGCAGGAAAATTAGTTTTAACATATTTTACTTAACCCAATATCCATGGATTGTACATTTCTTTGCACTAAGTCTTTGAATCTGGTGTGTAGTGTGCACTGAAGCTCACCTTAAGTAGGATGAGCCACTTCTGACGTCCTTGGCAGCCACTCAGGGCTACTGACTCTGGAGCTGGAAAACGCAGTTCCAGTCCCTGCTTAGGAAACTGACTACAATAGATAGACTACAACCAAATGGGGACCAGTTGGTTATTTACAATATGCCTGCCCCAGCTAACGCTTCGGGGTACCTACCCCCTGTAAGAGCTAACGGTGTTAATTCTGGAGACTTTCATATTTCTCTTGGTGGGGGAGGCATCACGATGAACCAGCACAATACTTGTTATAAAGCAGTTTCCTCAGGACTATTCTGGAGAGTGATTCAATACTTAGGCCTATCCTGAATCCTCTAAGACCACTATATTTTACTATTTTGTGAGGTCAATACTTTTTCTGTAGTAGTGAAATGCTTTTCTTTAAGTAGAATTTTAAATAGAAATCCAATATATGAGAAGGATAAATAAGCATTAATATAAAATTTTTCTATTTTTTTTCAGCAACTCCCCTCAGGTTTCGGGATCTTGGTTACCCAACAAGGGACTGAACCCATACCCCTTGCAATGGAAGCGCGGAGTCCTAACTACTGGACCACCAGGGAAGTCCCTGCATTAATATAAACTTAAAGAAACATTAATTTGAAATAACAACAAAGCTATTTGAAGATGATTAAAATGTGAAAGTAAATTATTGTACTAATTACATTTATGTCATATTACCTTCAGTATTCATTAAGTTAACTTCAAGTGTTTACAGACAACTTGAAGCTCACGGCCCATCTGAAAACTACTTTCCTGGTTGCCTTTAGCCTCAAAGGAATCCTAAGAGAACCAAGCAGATTCACAGGGCTGGGTAGGCCCACACTGCCATTCTAGTTGGTATGTTTTGTCTTCCCCTTTGCCCCTGTGATCAAAGTCACCACTTTGCTTTTACTAAGAAACTGCCCTTCTTATTGGCCGTTGTAGAATCTGCTCCCAAACTCATGACTGTAACCTAGGGTAGCGCCTCACATTGTAAGTGGTGGGAAACATAACTCCTCTTTTCCTGGCCATGCAGACACACATTCTGGCACAAACGGAGGAACTTCCAATTCATTTCATTCAGAGACAGAAGGTAGAGGGGGTTAAATGGCTTAAGGCAATGCATTTCATAATTTTCCAAAATCTGAGGATTTTTTGTTGGTGGTGGTTTCTCTTTTATATGTTAAAAATATCCTGGCCAAGGGAAACAGATAAATGCCTTTAAAGAATTAATATTTACAAGTGGAAATTGAATATCTTTACAAAATTAAGTGAAATGTATTTTGGTTTCTGTCGAAAAACCAAAATGAACTTAAAGTGAACACATTCTGTGATTATTTCCCACTGGGCTAAAAAATTCCCCCAGCTTTGGATTCACAGCTGCTAGAAGGTAGAGGAGCTAGACAGTCTGATCAAAGGACGTGGGGGACGTTACTCTGTTGGCGCCTGTATCAAAGCAAGAGCCTGTCAATGCACATTATTTTACATTAAAACAGGGAAGGTAGGAGAAAATATCAATAATCTAGCAAAGGGAACAGGAATTCAAATGTCCTCTTGGATGTCTACTGCCCACTTATCTTAGTTTATCAATATCTAAATATTCACTGAATATTTTTCAGAAGAAAGGACATCTCTGAAAAGAAACGCAACAGAAATCAGATACCTTTTAATCATAAAAGCAAACCTTTCTCTCATCTTTTCTCAGAGAGAAATAAAATTTACTTGTCTGTGGCTTTCACCAGTTAGGTATGTGCTGAACAAAGGAAGGGAACAGGGATGAATAAAATAGTGACGTCAAACCAAAAGGAAGCAAGAGTAGCATAAAAATGGGATAAAATCAATGACGGAGGAGAAGGGAAGTAAAGCTGACAATTAGGTTCATAAATTATGGCTCTCCTGATTCTCATTAGGAACTTGAAACAGGAATTTGGTGCAAGAAGCTACTTTACCTTTGAAGTCTTACAGATCATCCAGCAGATAAACAGATTCTAAATTTGTGTGCAATCTGTTTACCTCTGAAACCTCTTAGCCTGAAGTGAATAATGTAAACTCTCTTTCACAGAATAAGGCTGTATGAGGAGAAATGGTCCTGGTCTCTAGCACCTTAGATTTTGAGGCAATACACAGAGCATGTATTAATTCCATGTAATACTGTCTCAGAAATCGATTTTATGACATCATACATTTTCAGATGGATCGTTTGCATCGAGGACAGTTTCTTCCTGTGGCACAATTGTTTTCACCTGAGGGAAGATCTCTGTAAAACTTATATGACTTCCCATTTTTCTAGGATGGATCTAAATTTTGTAAATATGCTCTCTCAACTGTTACAACATCTTTGTTATTTACTAGTTTTTGTCTAAAATTTTTTAAAGCCTTTGTTCAATGCTCAAGAATTTGAGAACCAGGTAGAAAAATGTTCAAGTTAATTTGACCATTCAAGTTTTTACCCATGTCATTATACTCCCCACCACCTGAACTGGATTCACCATTTGTATTATATCCAAAAAAGCTTCAGTAATATTAATTTAAGCAGACAGCTTAAAAATTACAGTTACTGGATCAGTCATTATTAATATAACATTAAAATATTTTAAAATTACAACAAATAATAAATATCCTTAATGGAAAAAAGAAAAAGTACTCAGTCACTGTTACTAAAATACATAAATTATTGCAATAATTCTAATGAACTTAAAAAACTCTCACTTATCCACTGATGATTTAACCCGAGTAGAGAAAATCATGCATTTATGAAAAAAATATTCACAACAAATAATTGAAAACATTAATGTAAACAAAAGGTATCTGTTTTTTGGAACCACACAGTCAGGACATGCAAGACAGGACTCAAGCAATAGCAAAGGAGAGGGCAAGGGCTGTGGATTCCAAGGCTGGAAAGTTTGGTGGAAGAGTTAGTTAAGAAAGGAGACTGAAAGGGAAAAGGAAGGAAGATGTAGACGGAGCCCATCAGACCAACTGGGATCCTATTCTATTCTTAGTTGAGAGCTAAGAAACAGGAAACTATAACAGAGTACTTTAACCCTGTGGCCATATTTCATCAAAATTTAATTGTCTTAAAAATGACTACTTATACTATTTTCATGCTTTGGTATAAATATTGTAGCAGGGTAATTGTGTTCCCAAAATATCATAAATACAAGTTTATATCAAATCCATTTTGTATCAAGTTTTAACAGCAAATTTGTGGTTTTTTGTTTTGGTTTTGGCCACGCCACAAAGCTCGCAGGTTCTTAGTTCCCCATCCAGGAATTGAACTCCAGCCCACGGCAGTGAAAGTGCTGAGTCCTATCCACTGGACTGCCAGGGAACTCCCATTAACAGAAATTCTGGATTATTGTGCCTGGTATCCTGCTTCCAGAGTTATCCCTAGGAATGGATAAGCAACTGCCTACACTTTACAGTCTTGTAAAGTAGTTTCTAAAGCAACAAAAGCAATTGGGGGGGTGGGGAATATGGACATTAAGCAATGCAAAGAATATAATAAAAATATTTACCTTTTTAAAAGAAAGGCAAACTAAAGCTAGGTATTACTTCACATTCTTTTAAAAAAGCATACACATAAATGAGGAGTCTTTAAAAAATCCAATAATCTTAAACAGGTAAAACATTTCCCAATAAGCTTGACGGTGTTTCTTCAAGTTAAAGAGCACAGACACATCAGTAATGGTCTACACCCTGGTTTCTCAAAGTGTAGTCCAGGCCCAGCAGCATCATCACTTGGGAACGCATTAGAAATGGGATCTCAGATCTCTAATGCTACTGAAACTTTAACCTGGGGGATACGATGCTCAGATAATTGTTTGGCTTTCATTAACTGATAGCTAGAGGGAGTTTTTGGTTGATACTTGTTAGGGAACCTTATTTTGGTGTAGTGAAGTTTTAAGCAAAGAAGGGGAGTGAGGAGCAGAAAGCTATTTTGTTTTGCTTTCTTGAGAGGTTATTTCCAGATAAACCTTTTAGACTTGTCAAATATTTCACTGATAGTACTTCCTTCTCAGATTGCTGTGTACATGTAATTTTAAAAATATACCTGCTGATAGAGAAATCAAATATGCATACTATGTGTTCTACAAATGTAAGATTGAAGATTCAGATGAAGGCACTGGGGATATTTTTAAAAGATAACCAGGAAATATAAAAAAAGTTTTAGCTCTTTGAGTGACGAATGTACTCTTATTATGTAGTCCAAACCCAGTGATTAATATAAAAGGAATATATATATCATAAAGCCATGAATACCAATTGTTGTTAATTATTAGTTCAATTTCAAAGCTATTTCCAAAGCAATAGGGGGGAAAAAAAACACTAAAAGTCAGAAATATCAAAGCACCTAATCTTGGTCTATGCTCCAGTTTTATTCTAAGTCTTTCATTAGATTTTAAATTATTTCATTAAAATTTAAGATGATGTTTAAAAACTCTATTCTCCTTAGAAGATATGTATTTGTACCTTTTTTTTCCAATTTTAAGTCCCCCCCCTTATTTCATTTTTATAGATAAAAAGACAGAGTTCATGAAGTGCCTTATAAATCTTACCCTCTCAGCAACTTTTAGTTTAACCCCATCAGTTTTACTTCAACCTAGTAAATTAAGAGAACATAAGAGGGAAATCAAATAGTGTTGCTTTAAATTCCCCAGTTTAACCTGTATGAATAACAAATCTAAAAGAAAGCAAAGTGGGTATCTGAATGAGCCATCTATGTAGCTTCTTACTACTACCTAAGTTATACAGACAACTGTAAACTTTCACCATAAAAATTACAGTGACTACAGCTGTCAAGGTCTCCAGTGAACCATTTTATACTATTTAATCTTGGCCATTAGTCCAATCTAGGAAGTTGGGTACACCTAGGATAGAGAAAGCCCCCAAATGGTCCATGATTTACTACAGCACTTAAACCTCAAATCCCACAGAAATTTTTCTTACATCATAATTAGCTGAGGCAACCTGCACAGATTACTCTTGTTGCAATGATATTGAAAGCAGCTGAAAACATTTTTAGTAAAGAAATGTAATTCAGACAACACACTCATGCAGGAGCATTTTTTGAGAAAACAACATGCAATACAGACTACAAACAAAAACTGCACAAAACTATGTCAACTGTGAGAAGGACCAATAAATTAAAAAACATGCTTTAATTTACCCTTTCTTCTTTTTGTAAAAACAGAAGCAGATGCTGCAGACTACTCCAACGCCAAAAACTACAAGAAATCGGGAAACAAATGATATGTAACTGTGAAAAATCATTGCCAAGATTCAAAATCTAGCAGAAGAAATAAATGATGGTCAGATTTCCATGGCCAGAAAATGTTATCTTATTTAAGCACATATACATTTACATTCCATCTGGACTCTTCAGTATCAATCCAATTCTTTGCATTAAACAGTACAGAGTAAGTCAGAGAAGAGTCCTTGATAATTGAGAAAATTACTCAAAGCATATTTGGGATGCAAACTCATATGAGTAATGATCTTGAAACAACTTATATTATTTAGGGTTTGTTAGTAACTGGACATGTAGAATACAAAGGAATAGACAAACAATAATACAAGGTAGTGTATTATATAAAAGGTCAGGTTTTCCCTGTTTTACTTAATTTCAAGCTATAAAGCCACAGAAATTGAAAAATCTTTTAAAAAACTATTGCACTTTTCAGAGTAATGTCTTGATTTAATTGGTATCAAAGTTTGGGATACGTACGTGCACCAATGACAATTGCAACAATGATTCCTGCACCTGAGAAAAAAATGAAAACAGTTTGGGGGATAATTAAGTACCTAGGGGTCTCCAGGTAGCAGCATTTTAATTTGATCAGATCATCTATAACTACAAAGAAAAATTATCAATCTATTTTTAGCATGACTGCCAGTGTTTCCAGGTTATTTTGATCACAGAACCCTTCAAATCACATTCCAGGGTTAGGACACACCTTGTGAAACTCCTAACAGGAACCTCACTTTTCATTGTTGTATGCTGTAGCTACCACATCAGGTTATTTAGTAAAGGTAACTAGGACAATTAGAATTTACTAGTTTCGAGGAAAATCATTTTAGAAATGTAACAGCCCACTGTAGTTCGTTTAGTTCAACATTCAGTCTTTTATTATTTATGACTTTGTTGGAAATTTAACATGTATTTTTTTCCCTAAGTGGGTCTGTAGAACAAGTCATAGAGTGCTATTAATCTATCATATAGATGTTATTTGCAGAGTCTTCACAAACAATACATCATTGTATCATCACAGCTCCTATTCCCCTTTCCCCCCAGATTAAGACATAGTCCTACAAGGAGATTTGATCTAAAAATGTAAAGGGAACACCAGGGAACATGGATTAAAAACTATGCATAGAAATGTAAACATGCATTTTTGACTATCCAGAGAGCAATAAATAATACTACCAAATCTTAATTCTTAGAAATGTTTGTCAGTACCTCTGCTTCTAAACTGCCATTACTTTTGTTATCTATAACTCATAGCATAAAATGTCATGTTCAGCTCTACTCTTTTTATTTCATAAATATTATCAAGTGTAAGCATCTTGAGATGGCACTGGATTCACTTGACACAGTGGCAAGTTTTCAGAGGGAAAACATAACAAGCCTAAAGTACATTTTATAAAAAGATTAACTTTACTAATTTAAAGTAAAGTATTAGCTATTTTTCTTCATTTCCTTATCAGTAAATCTTCATATTTCATTTAACTGTCACAACTATACTTCATCAAGTTCTTTAACACATATGTGTGAACTATGTGAGCCAACATTAAGTGTGCTACCCCAGCTTGATATAGAAAAACTAACCCAACTAGTAGTACTTCAAGGCTTGTATATACAAGGTACCAGTAGAAAGAAAATTTATCTAAAAATTGCCATTACAAAGTAACACTATCACATGGAAAACAAGCTATGTTTTATATATATTAAACTACATATAACCATATTATTTAAGAAAGTAAACTTATCATGCTAGGAAGCCTAAATTGGGGAACCTCTTAAAAACTGTATTACCCACATGTGCCTATACATAGTACCACTTATATTTGTCATGGTATCTTCACCTTTAAAATTACTTAAAATGTACAATTTACAATTACACATTGAACAATTATCACCAATTTGTGACATGTTGTCTCTTTTCTAACTACAGATAACGGTAATATTTCCATGTTGAAAACTAGGGCCTCATGATGCAGGGTTATTAACCACCAAAATAATACCTAAACTCTCAGCATCTTTAGGTGGTGGTTCATCACTGGGACTGGGATGTCCTAGAAAAAAGGAAAAAAATGGAAGTAAAAAAAAGAAGAAGAAAAAACAATAAAGCTTAAAGTCCTCTAAATTCACAGGTTTTGATTTTTTGACTTTGTACAAAAACCCTTATAATTTTATTTTCCTTATATAAACTATATTAATGTTTCTCATTAAAAGTAGTATCAAAATATTATAAATTTATATTCAGTATCAAAGCATTCTTCTTCCTGTCCAGTAACATTTCCTGGGACAATATTCTGTGGTACAGCAAACAAATTTATCATTAGTGTATTGTCAGAATTATCCTATGGATTCAATGTGATTATACTTAAAACTAAAATTAAGAAAACAACCCCATTTACAATCAAATCAAAAAGAACAAAATACCAAGAAATAAGTAGGTAAAAGACCTATATTCAGAAAACTATAAGACACTGATGAAAGAAATTGAAGACAACACAGATGGAAAGATATACTGTGCTTGGAATGGAAGAATTAATATTGTTAAAATGACCATACACCTCAAGGTAATCTACAGATCCAATGCAATCCCTATCAAAATACTAGAAAAAAATAATTCTAAAATTTGTATGGAAACAAAAAGACCCCGAATAGCCAAAACAATCTTAAGAAAGAATAACAAAGCTAGAGGTATCACATATCCTGACTTAAAACTATGCTACAAAGCTAAAATAATCAAACAGTATGGTCCTAGCACAAAAACAGACACATAGAACAATGGAACAGAAGAGAGAGCACAGAAGTAAACCCACAGCTACATGGAAAATTATCTACAATAAAGGAGACAAGAAAACATAATGGGGAAGAGACAGCCTCTTCAATAAATGGTGTTGGGAAAATGGTACAGCAACATGAAAAAGAATCAAAATGAACTACTTGCTCACAAAATATACAAAAATAAACTCAAAATGGATTAAAGACTTAAATGGAAGACCTGAAAACATAAAACTTGTAGAAGAAAACATAGCAAATACCCTTTTTTTACTTTAGCCTTAGCAATATTTTTTTGGATGTCTCCTCAGGCAAGGGAAACGAAAGTAAAAAACCAAATGGGACTACATCAAGCTAAAAAACTTTTGCACAGCAAAGAAAACTATCAACAAAATGAAAAGACCACCTATGAATAGGAGAAGATATTTGCAAACAATATATCTGACAAGGGGTTAATATCCAAAATATACAAAGAACACATACAACTCAACATCAAAACAAAACAAAGAACCCAATTTAAAAATAGGTAGAAGACCTGAATAGACATTTTTCCAAAGAAGTCATACAGATTGCCAACAGGCACATGAAAGATGCTCAACATCACTACTCATCAGGAAGTACAAATCAAAAGCACAATGATATATCACCTCACACCTGTCAGAATGGCTATCATCAAAAAGACAACAAATAACAAATACTGGTAGGGATGTAGAGAAAAGGGAGCCCCTGTGTACTGTTAGTGGGAATGTAAATTGATGCAGCCACTATTGAAAACAGTATGGAGATTCCTCAAAAACTTAAAAATAGAACTACCATACAAGCCAACACTGGGTATTTACCCTAAGAAAATGAAAACACTTATTTGAAAAGTATATGCACCCCTATGTTCACTGGAACATTATTTACAATAGCCAAGATATGGAAGCAAACTAAGTGCCCATCCATAGATGAATGTTACTTTGTTAGAGTTTCCTTCTATTACAAATTGGATCCTAAATTGGTTTTAAGCCCTCCTGTACACACGCACTACATCTTCTTTATCCATACACACACACACACACACACATTCACACATACAATGGAATAAAAAAAGAATGAAATCTTGCCAATTGTGACAACATGGATAGACCTAGAGGGTATTATACTAAGTGAAGCAAGTCAGAAAGAGAAAAACAAATACTATATGATTTCACTCATACGTGGAATCTAACAAAACAAATAAACATAACTAAACAGAAACAGAGTCATACATAGAACAAACAGGTGGCTACCAGGAGGAGAGGATTTGACGTATGGGGAGGAGAGAAATAGATGAGGGAGATTAGGAAGTAAAAACTTTCAGTTACTAAATAAATGAGTCATGGGTATGAAATGTAAGGTATGGGGAATATAGTCAATAGTTATGTAATATCTTTGTATGGTGACAGATGGTAACTAGACTTACCATGGTGATCATTTTGAAATGTATGAAAATATTAACTATGTTGTATACCAGGAACTAACATAGTGCTGTAGATCAATTATACTTCAAAAACAAACAAACAAACAAACTCATAGAAAGAGATCAGATTTGTGGTTAACAGAGTCAGAGGGTGGGACGAAAGGGGAATTGCATGAAGGCAGTCAAAAGGTGCAATCTTCCAGTTATAAGATAAATAAGTACTAGGGATGTAATGTACAACATGATAAATATAACTAACACTGCTGTATGTTATGTAAGAAAGTTTTTAAGAGAGTAAACTCTACGAGTTCTCATCACAAGGAAAAAATTTTTTTTCTATTTCCTCAATTTTGTATTATATAAGATAACGGATGTTCACTGAACTTACTGTGGTAATCATTTCATGATGTATGTAAGCCAAATCATGATGTACAATGTAAACTTTATACAGTGCCATATGTCAATTATATCTCAACAGAACAAAAAAACTAAAAGGTACAGGAGGGCTTAAAAACAATTTAGAATCTGATTTGTAATAGAAGGAAACTTTAACATAATAAAGACAATTTATAAAAAATCCATAGCTAACATCATATTCAATGGTGAAAAACTGAAAGTTTTTCCCTTAAGATAAGAAACAACCCAGGATGCCTGCGTTTGCCATTTCTATTCAACATAACACTGGAAGTTCTAGACAGAGCAATTAGGCAAGTAAAAGAAATAAAAAGAGCCCAAATTGGGTAAGAAGAAATAAATGATCTCTGTTCCAGATGACATGATCTTATAAAAAGACAACTCTAAAGATTACACACACACACACACACACACACACACACACACACACAACTGATATAACAATTCAGCAAAGGTGGCTGCAGGCTACAAAATCAACAAAAATCAGTTGTATTTCTACACATGAGCAATGAACAGTCCAAAAAGGAAATTAAGGAAACAATTCCATTTACAATAGTATCAAAAAGAATAAAATACTTGGGAATAAACTAACCAAGGAAGTGCAACATTCATCCAGTGAAAACTACAAAACATTGCTGAAAAAAAATTAAAGACATAAATAAATGGAGAGACATCCTGTGTTCATGGATTGGAAGACTTAATATTATTAAGATGCTAATACTACACAAAGCAATCTACATATTAAATGCAACCCCTATTACCATCTTGAAAATGCATTTTGCATAAATTGAAAAATCAAACCTATAATTCATATGGAATCAAGGGACTAGCAATAGCCAAGAAAAATCTTGAAAAAGAAGAGCAAAGTTGAGAGGGCTCATACTTCCTGGTTCCAAAACATACTAAAAAGCTACAATTGGGCTTCCCTGGTGGCGCAGTGGTTGCGAGTCCGCCTGCCGGTGCAGGGGACGTGGGTTCATGCCCCGGTCCGGGAGAATCCCGCATGCCGCGGAGCGGCTGGGCCCGTGAGCCATGGCCGCTGAGCCTGCGCGTCGGAGCCTGTGCTCCGCAACGGGAGGGGCCACGGCGGTGAGAGGCCCGCGTACCCCCCCCTCAAAAAAAAAAAGCTACAATAATCAAAACAGAGTGGTACCGGCATAGAAAAAAACACACAGACTAATGGAATAGAGTAGAAAGCCCAGAAATAAACCCTTGCTTATATGGTTAAATGACTGTCAACAGGGTGCTAAGAACATTCAATGGGGAAAAATGGGGAAAGGATAATCTCTTCAACAAACGTTTCTTGGAAAACAGATATCCACATGCAAAATAGTGAAGTTGGACACTTACATCATATACAAAAATTAATTCAAAAAGGATCACAGAACTAAAGAGCTAAAACTATAAGACGCTTAGAAGAAAACATAGAGGACAATCTTCATGATGTTGGATCTGGCAATGATTTCTTGGATGTCACACCCAAAACACAGGCAACAAAAGAACAAATAGGTAAACTGGACTTTACCAAAATTAAAAACCTTTGTGCTTCAAATGACACTACCAACAGAGTGAAAAGGCAATACACAGAATGGGAGAAAACATCTTCAAATAATGTATCTGATAAGAGATTAATATCCAAAATACATAATGAACTCCTAAAACTCAACAACAACAAAAAATCAATTCAAAAATAGGAAACAAACTTGAGTAGACATTTCTCCCAAGAAGATCTATAAGAGACCAATAAGCACATGAAAAGATGATCAATTACTAATCATTAGGGAAATTAAAAAATAGAAAAGCACAATGAGATACTACTTTACATGTATAAGGATGGCTATTATCAAAAAACAGAAAAATATGTGTTGACAAAGAGGTAGAGAAATTAGAACCTATGTGTATCACTGGTGAGAATGTAAAATGGTGCAGCCACTGAGGGAGACACTAAGTTTGTTCCTCAAAAAGGGAAACACAGAATTACCATACACCCCAATGTGTTATTCAGAATAGCCAAAAGGTGGAAACAACCCAAGTGGCTATCAACAAATGAATGGATAAACAAAATATGGTATATACAAATAATGCAATATTATTCAGCCGTAAAAGGGAATACAGTTCTGCTACATGTTACAAGAGGGACAAACCTTGTAAACATCATGCTAAGTGAAATAAGTCAGAAGTGATTCTACTTCTTGACCTAGAATAGTCAAATTCATAGAGATAGAAAGTAGAATATTGGTTACCAGGGCTGAGGGGAGGGAGAATGGGAGGTTATTATTAAATGGATATAATCTTTCATTTTGAGATGATGAAAAAGTTGGGATGATAGCTAGTAGTGATGTACCTAATGCCACTGAAATGTACACTTAAAATGGCTGAAATAGTCAAAAAAATTTTATCTAGAAAAATTAACATAGAAAATAGTCTGAACATTTCTGAAAAGGATGTCTTCTGCCAGATATTAAAACATATTATGGTACTGCCGTCAAAAAATCGACATAGTGGGGGCACAGGAATGGACAGAGATCAAGGGAACAGAGAGAAGATTAGAACACCTATGACTTTATTTAATGTATGATAAAAATTGGCACTTCAAAACAGCTGTAGAGAAGACAACTTATTCAACAAATAGTTCTACTTAGCCATTAGATGGGGTGGGTGGAATGGAGATGAACCTAATCTCATTCCACATACCATAATGAATTTCAGATAAAACAACGATTTAATGCAAATAATGCAATCAGGATGTATGGTTAAGATGTTTATATAATTTCAGCATGGGGAAGTCCTGAAGCTTTTATAAGAAGGATACACAGTCATAGTCATTAGGGAAAAGATCAATACACCCAGCTACCTATCAATGTAAAATGCACACGTAAATGACCACTGATAGGAGAATAGTTAAATATGGTATATATTAAAGTCATCATTAAAAAGGATGGGAGTAAATCTAAAAACAACCCCAATTCAAGACATTAAATGGAAAAAGTGAAAGCTTCAGAAAAATATGAGCAGCATAATGCCATCTTTGGTTAAGAAAAAAGAAAAAATGCCAAAATATGTATAAGTACACAAATAAAGATGTTGATGTACAAAAATAAAAAGATAACCTAAACTATTAAGTGATGATTCAGGAAATGGACTAGAGAAAGAGGAGGAGAAGTGATCTTTTACTCTGTATGCTTTCATAATGTTTGAAATTTTACAAATTCATATTCATATACTATTTATGTAATTAAAAGTTATAAAAAGCAATATATATACCCAATAATATAAAATTTTAAAAGAAAACTGACTAGTAAATATAAGACAAAAAAAAAAAAAAAAACCTAGAGAAAAAAGTTCATTTTAAACAGGCTTTGATGAGTTCTGACAAATCAACAAGAAATATTTTAGAAACCAAATAGAAAAATGAAAAAAGGACATGAACAAATAACTGTAGATGAAAAAAGCTCAGCTTCATTGATAATTAAATAAATGCGAATTAATATGTGACATCATTTTTCACTCATCACCCTAAAAAGTTCTAAGCAATATATGTAGAATAAAGAACACCTGAACCTGGATGACTTGACCCCAGAGTCATAGTTGGATGAGTAGGCTTGGAATCTGGAAAACTAAATGTGATTCAATTCTCCAGACTTATCAATACAAAATTATGGATTTACTTTTGATTTTTTAAAAAGGTTATTTCTCAAATTGAATTATTTCCCCAAATGAAAAATACACATACTTCCTAAACTTTGCAATTCTACTTCTGTGAAGTTAACCTAAAATATATATTTACACAAGTACATACGAATGTATCCATAAGAATGTTCACTATGGGATGTTCACTATGGCTTTGTATTATATAATGGAAATCCTAGAAGTTAACTAATAATAAACCATAAAAATATGTGTTCAGAATAAAGATATGAAACTTTAAAAAAATACCATCCACATAGTACCCTATTACATAATTTGTATCCTTTTCTTTTCCACTTAGTATTTTGCCCACATTTTTTCATATTTGCATAATCAGATCTACCTTATCACCATTATATGTCACTAATGATCCTTTTCATGCTCTCTAACTGATGATAAAAAATGATTGACAGTCTCATGAGGAATTTTGATTTTTGATATTTTAAAAAAAATCCCTGTAGTTTACCTTCTTTATAGATTTGTCCTCACAATTCTCTCTTCTTCAAACACTGAACTGCATCAGTGTTTTATAAATCCTTTATAAAATGCTTATGGTCAACTCTTTCAAAAGAGCCTATCAAAAAACATAGTATACCACAGTGCATAGTCCCAGTAGGACCATGTGAGTAAACATGGATGGGTCAATATCATCCACCAAAAAAAACATCTTTTTCCCCCCAAGACTTCACAGCCCTCACCAAGGTACTCAAGGAGATTACTGGATACCAGGTTTACGGGAATTATAAAAAGGTGTTCTAATTACCATGTTAACATGAAAAATTCCCCTCAGTCCTTAAAATATTAGGACAATAGGAAGTAAACAAATTAAAAGCCAGTAGATGACATTTGTTTGAGTCATTAAACAATGGGACACTGGAACCTACAGAAATGATGTTACTTTAGTGAGCAGAGCCACACTGGGACCCTGAGTGCAGTCTGCCCAGGCTAATGCTCTTCCTCTCTTCCTCTTGTCTCTTGCTTCTGCTGCAACCAAAGAGAAGAAGCCAGAGACAGCAGCCCTGAAATCAGGAAGATTATTCCTTCCACCATATCAAAATAGTCTCTCAAGACTTAGGCAGAGCAGCTAATCAGTAGTCCCTGCAGAACCAAACTGGTCACGGTCTGGGAAAAGAAACATAGTTCTAGACCCAGGAGATACCCTGTAAAGGTGTCAACAGATCACTTTTAAAATGAATAAATTATAAATGTCAATGATACAGAAAACACACATGTTAAAAAACAGACGCCATGGACCTTCCTCTGCATTAATATTAATTTGAGTTATGCTGTAATACATACAAGCTACCTTTAAGAGCTTTCTGGATACCAGGCACTGTGCTAAGTGCTTTAAATGGATCCCATTTTAAATTTACTATCACTCAGTAAGGAAGGTTTTAAATCATCCACCAAAAAAAACATCTTTTAATCATTTTACATGTAAGTAAACATGTTTAAAGTTTACTTAACTTGCCACCTGCTTATATCTGCAGACTACTGCAAATAATTTTAAAGTCACTAAATGTAACAACTAAAATGGCTGTTAATATGTTCTCCCTTTCATTCCTAAAATTGATGAATGAGTACAAATCATAGAAATTTAAAAGATTTTGAAAAAAATCACAAGGAATGTAAAGGATTTTGAAATATATAAGCAGGAAGTTACTAGACCTGAGACACTGGAAATTGGAGGTTGGGAACTGGGAGGAGTTGACACTGGAAAACAAAAAAAATGTAGATTGGATCAAACACTTGGGAGTTACTGCTAGTATTTTCATCAAGAATCTAAAAGACTTTTGAAAAAATATATACAGGTAGTTACTAAACCTGAGGCACTGGAAATTGGAGTCTGGGTACTAGGAGTAGTTGACTCTAGAAAACAAAATAAGGTAGACTGAATAAAAAACTTGGACATTATTATTTTCTTTTCATTAATATGAATTATGCCTTTCACTCTTATTTAGGTAAAACTTCCTATGCTTCAATTTACTCTGAAAAATGATTGCTATTCATTTTTACATGCAAAAAATGTCAAACAAGAGAAATTTATATACATGTGTGATGTACATGAAATGCTAAGACCCTATAAAGACATCCAAAATCGCAAGAGCAGATTTCTTTGTAAATATGAAGTCATACAACTATCATAGAAATGAATACAAGACAGTTAAATATGAAAATTGTTTCTTTTCTATTATTCTGTATCATTGATATTTAATGTCAAAGAAAAAAAAAAAAGGAAAATGACAATATTTATACCTTTAATACATGTTGGTTTCTCAGGCTCCCAAGTACTGTTCGCACTACAGACGATTTTGTTGCTGCCATTAAGCTTAAAACCCTCCATGCATCTATATACAATCGTTGCATTGTAGTAAAATTTTGATCCAAGTCCTGAGACTATCATTCCATTTTCAATGTATGGATATGCACATTTGACCACTGAAAAACGGAGAAATTCAAGAATTAATGGAAAGCTGCTTTCACATAGGACCAGAAAAACTAGTGCAAAGTAATAATTTCCAGTGGAAAGAAAGAGGAAAGGAATGACAAGATGTTAATCGGAAAAAAAAAAAAAAGACTTTGTGCATTTGAATTCCAGGGAACAGATCTGGAGAAGTCTAATAACCTTTTCCCACCTAAAACAGACTGTCATTATAGTTTATTTGCTTCCCTACATTTTCTTTCCATTATTGACAAGTTTTGAGAAAGGTCTGAGTACCAGACACAAATTCAGGGTAAGTTCAAAAGAAACTTTCAATGCTCTTTAGCTCTAGGATTTTTTTAAGATCATGCTGACACTAACTGCAGTACCCTGCTTTTTTAGAAAGGCAGCAAAAAGTTTTCTTAGAAGGTAATATTTGAGCTCAAATTTAAAAGTTGAAAAGAAGCTAGCCATGCCAAGATATGAAAAAGAAAGTTCTCAGGTGACAACACACAGGAACTGGGATGTTCAAGAAGTACAAAGGCCAGTGGAATTAGGGGAGTGTTTTCCAAACATTCTGGACTATAACCCAGAGATCAAGAAATACATTTTACATTGTAAACCAGTATATAAACAAACAGGCCTGAGATAATGCTAAAAGTTAATACTTAGCCCTCACACCAGTGTACTCTGGTATTTCCCATTCTACTCTACTTAAAAAGTAACATATTCATCCTGACCCTCTAGGATTCATGATCCATTAATGGGTTTGGCAGAATTTGGGAAAAAACAAAATCAAGAAACACCGGGCTGGGCAGTGAGTTCAAGAGAACATCTTATGAGATTAAATCTGAGTAACAGATGAGGGCCAGATAATACACTGCCTTTTAAACCAGAAGAGTGTCCTTTCTCCGTTCTTTTGGGTCTGAATTTCCATCAGGTATTATTTCTCTTCAGCCAGGAGGACTTCCTTATCAATTCTTATAGTCCAGGTTGGCTAATGACAAATTCTCTTAGCTTTTGTTTATCTGAAACTGTTTTTATTTCACCTTCAGTTCTGAAAGATTTCTCTTTCACAGAGAATTCTAGGCTGTTTTTTCTTTCAGCACATTAGCAGAAATTATTGTCTTGTAGTTTCAACAGTTCCTTAACAAAAGTCAGCTGTCATGTCATTCTTACTTTGGAGTGAGGAGAGGGAGGATGTAATATGTTTGTGTTTTTTTGTTTTTCCCTCTCACTGGCTACTTTTTCTTTTGTTTTCAGTAGTTTTACCATGTTGTGTTTAGTTTAGTGGCAGTTTCTTGGTAAATTTTTGAAATTTATTCTGCTACAGTCAGTGAATTTCCCAGACCTGTGGGGTTGTTGTTTTGGATCAAATTTAGATAATTTTTGGCCAGTATTTATTGAAATGATTTTCTACATTTTTCTCTCTCCTCTCTTCTGAAACTCCAGTTACATGTATGTTTGACTCTTTGCTTTTTCTCCCAAATATCTTTCTCTCTGTTTCTTATTTTAATCTTTCTTTTCAAATCATGGTGGATTTCTATTGCTCTGTCACTGATATTTTTCACTGTTGGGCCAATATGCTCTTAATTGTACCTAATGATTTTCTTCTAAGTTAGGTTTATTAGAAAACAAAGGACATACAGTAAATCTCACCCTTTTAAGCGTACAGCTATATTAGTTTTGATCAATTCAAATAACCATGTAATTACCTGCACAATAACAAAAGTTCCATTATCTCTAAATACTTCCTCATGCCACTTTGTAATCAACCCTCCCCAACTTTCAACCACCTTATCCAACCAGCCAACCACTAATCTGTTTTCTGTCCCTATAATGTTGCTTTTCCAGCATGTCATAATGGGATCACAGCCTCTGAGTATGGCTTATTTCAATTAGCATAATGTATTTGAGATTCAT